ATCAAATTATATTTGGGAAATTAAGTAATTTATTGGAGTTTTTATATGATACTTAAAAGGTTGTTTGATTTATTCAAGGAAATGAAAGTGGAAATAAAAATAAAAATATAACAGAAATAAATTGTGTTCTGATTTGTAGCGAATAAACTGAAGCAAAATAACTATTAAATAATGTCTTTAGTTTAGTAGAGACATTGACATATTATTTTAGCTCGATGGAAATAAAATCCGTTTCGTTAGGACCCTCTCAAATAGAAATAGAGAACGAAGGGGATGAAAATTTATATGATTTTATAAGGAATCTCTGTTATAGAACAAATATTTTTGTCCAGTCATATGATATTATAATAATTCATATCTTATCATTTTTTTAATATTTTATTTTAATAAATTTATAACATATATTAATAAAATATATAAAATAATACGAAAAATAAATATATAAACCACAAGGATGGTGTCTGATTGGTTTGAGCTTGACTCCAAAGGTCAAAAGTACCTGAAGGTCCCATGTTCAAATCCAAGGAGGAATAAAAATCCACTTGTGGTCACGGAAGTTCAAATGCGGTGACTCCGAACTATCTGCAAAGCAGGTGGTTGCCTTGGGATTAGTCGGCTCGCATAGCGGATTGGATATTCAGATTAATCAAAATATATATATATATATATATATATATATATATATATATATTTCTCAAGCTACTAACTTTTAGTTTGGAGGAATAAAAAAAATCCTCTTATGGCCACGAAAATTCAAATGTGATGACTTCGGGCTATTTGTAAAGCAGATAGTCATTCTAGGATTAATCGGCTCACATAACAGGTTAGATATCCAGATTAATAAAAAAAAACTTTTAGTTTGAAGGGTTCATGAAATTTGTTTCTCCGCTTTATAGAATTTATTAAAAAAGATAAAAACTAAACATTCAAGTTTCTTTATTTTTTAGAATACGTTTTTGAAGATGCACTTAGAATATCTTCAATATAAAACATAAAAAGTATCCACCATCATGAAGGCTCTTCTTTAAAAGGTTGGTAAGGTTTTTATTTGAGTTTGTATCAATGTGAAACAAATATTTTTCCAAGTATCCTGGTATCCAAAAGATTAAATAATTAGGATCGTTTATCTAAATATTTTATTAATCTGGAACACATATTTATAAATTAATATTGAGATTCTTATTCTATCAAGCAACGACGATGTACCAGAAAAATGTTGAAAATAAGACACATAAAAACCACCATGTGGAACGTTCTCACATTATTTTTGTGTGAAAAATGGTCAAACACAAATCATCTCTAATCTATCAAAAGAAGTAGATCCCTTTTATCATCATCATCATCATATACATTTTCAATATCACTCCTATATTTATTATTTTAACAAATTATTTTATAATATTTTATACTTTCACAATGATATTATGTGAACTCAATTACGATTAATGTACTAATCATTAATAATTAAAATTCCATCAAACAAAAATGTTACATTTTCAACACATGTATAACAATCAAATACATGCATTTTTCAAATAAACACTACAACAAAATTGGGTTTATAGGACGTTTCCGATCTCTAGGTGTCCCAATAGACCGCTTTATAGGATTTAATTTATAGGAACAAAATGTAAAACGTTCTATCTAAAGCCGTTGTAATAAGTTTATATGACATTTTTTAGAGTTTTAACAAGTTTTTTAGAACATTTTTAATACAAAGCGTCGCATTAGCAACTTTATAGGACGCTTTTGAGAAATTGTCATATAAACTCAATTTTTTATTAGACAGTTGTTTTTATAGGACAGTTTTTCAAATATTGTCCTATAAAGTTGATAATGGAATGCTTTATATTAAAAGTGGTCTAAAAAACTTATTACGACGTCAAAAAACGTCATATAAACTTTATATGATACGTTTTTATTTTAAATAATTCAAAAATTGGAAACAAAATAACAACTAATGATTCTAACTCTAACAAGATGCCACATCATCTTTTGATGATTATTCTTATATAGATATATAGATTGTTGTAATTGGTCAATATCACGTATCATCTTTTCGACCTCCTTGTTGGTGTATTCAGTTACAATTCTGCTAGGTGCATCAAGATCACATTTATTATTTTTCTCAACAAAAGATTTCATTTATATATTATCGATTATCATATAATAACAATATTACATGTATTAATTTAACAGGAAAATTGCACATAAATGGAACAAACTCTGTTCTAATTCCTGTTTTAGGAAACCAACTCTCAAAGACATCAATTAAAGGTTTAGAGCAAAGTTTGTATTTATTTAAGGATTTCATTGATCGGTTAAAAGTAAGTAACCGATCAACATTACGTGGATTTTTAAATAATAAAATATTACGTAATAAATTAAAAAAATATTACGTGGAATTTTAAATGCCATATCATTATGTAAAAATATTTAAAGATTTAAAAAGAAAAGGAAAAAAGAACGTCGCGCCCCGCCCCCATGGAGACCCATCGTCACCGGTCACCTCGATCTCTCCCTCATCCTTTCTTCTTCATCACTGCAACCAACCAACCAACCGCCGCCCCTCCAGTTTTTCCGGCTGACCTATCACTGCCCCTCTTTTCTTCTTCCTTGCTGCAAATTGCAAGCCAATCCACCATTGCCTCTCCACTTTTTTCCATATTCCACCCGTCTACATCATCCTCCCTCAAACACAACACCTTCGTCTTCTGCGACATTACGGAAGCAATGCCGGTCTCGAGTTCATGTCTTCAATGTCGGTACAAAATCCCAACACCGACGTTGGCCACGAGTTCACGACCACAGGTTCAAAACCGAATCCCGGCGTGCTTCTCCTTCCCCAACCGCTGTAAATCAAAACCGCAACCTGAACGTCGGTGTTCTTCTCCTTCCCCCGTCACTGTAAATTGAAACCGAAACCCCGTCTTCGACATTCTTCTCCGACCTCATCACTGTAGACTTTAAGGTTTTGATATTTATAATTTCATGATCAGATCTTCACGTCGTCCCCAGTTGCTATCAATCTTTGGTTAGATTTTTTACTTTTGATTTCTTTCTTCTTCTCTAACTTCGTATTCTTCATAACAGTTCATAATCACTCTCTTATATTGCTTTTTCTAGACGATGCTACTTCTTTCGCTACAACAAAATCGGGTTTATAAGACACTCTCAATTTCTAAGCGTCCTAATAGTCCTCTAAGTCTTAGTTTATAGGACCAAAAAAATAAAACGTCTTATCTAAAGACGTTGTAATAAGTTTATATAACGTTTTTTAGGACGCTTTTAATATAGAACACTATTTCAAAAACTGTCATATAAAAACAAATGTTCTATAAAAATTGAGTTTATAGAACATTTTCTCAAAAGTGTCCTATAAAGTTGCTAATGCGTTACTTTGTATTAAAAATGTCCAAAAAAAAACTTGTTAAGACGTCCAAAAGCGTCGTATAAACTATTACAACACCTTTAGATATGACGCTTTATATTTTGGTCCTATAAATTGAGTTTTATAAAACGGTCTATTGGGACGCTTAGAGATTGGGGGTGTCGTGTAAACCAATTTTGTTGTAATGTTTAGTGATTAGCTTTTTTTATACAACTACTTGTTGAATTACTAATAACCCATTCATATATATGTTCAGCAACTATGAACATATATATGTAAATTGAGAAAATTAACTGAATGTGATATACGTAAAAAATATGGATAAGTTATATCAAATGGTTGATGATAAAAAAGAAATTATGAATAAAGAAATAACAGATTCAAGGTTAAAAGAATATTTTAATGGGAAAATTGCACCAAAATGGAACCAACTTTCACCAAATTCCTATTTTAGGGAACCAACTTTCACCAAATTCCTATTTTAGGGAACCAACTTTCAAAATCGTTATTTTAGGGAACCAACTTGCACCTGATTCCTATTTTGGGGAACCAACTTTCAAAATTGTCATTTTGAGGAACCAACTTGCACCTTATTCCTATTTTGATGAACCAACTTGCAAAATAATTATAGAAAAATAACTAAAATTCGTTTTTTTCTAAAAATTAATGCAATAGAATCTATTTTTTTATTTCAAATCTCGTTTTTTTAATTCAGATATCAAATTGAACATTTTTTAAAAAAATCCAAATTACCACAATAAAAATTGTTTTTTACTAATGCAAAAAAAATCAATTTAATAGAAAAAATTAATTGATGCAATAAAAAATAAATATTAAATATCACATTCAAGATTTTTATATCTAACCAATTGTATCAATTAATTTTTTTCTATTAAATTGATTTTTTTTGCATTAGTAAAAAACAATTTTTATTGTGGTAATTTGGATTTGTTTTTAAAAAATATTCAATTTGATATATGAATTAAAAAACGAGATTTGAAATGAAAAATAGATTTTATTGCATTAATTTTTGGAAAAAAACGAATTTTAGTTATTTTTCTATAATTATTTTGCAAGTTGGTTCCCCAAAATATGAATCAGGTGTAAGTTGGTTCTCCAAAATTATGATTTTGAAAGTTGGTTTCCCAAAATATGAATCAAATGTAAGTTGGTTCCCCAAAATGACGATTTTGAAAGTTGGTTTCCCAAAATAGAAATTAGGTGAAATTTTGTTTCATTTTGGTGCAATTTTCCCTATTTTAATATACCAAAGTATCAACCCGTACGGGTTGGGTTGGGTTGCACTTTGGTTTGTTTTGGGTTAAGATTTTTTTAAACCGCAAGCATTGAGTTGGGTTGTTCAAATATTTTCGACCCGATTAACCCAACCTATGAGCACCCCTACCTTGTTCATTATGAATTTTTGATGGTCAGAAAATGCCAAATTTATTATCTTTAACAAACTTTGTTTCAGTATCCCAAACTTGCACAACTTTAAGGATGATCAAACGTCCATTTTCCCATTTAGGGTTTTGCCTATTTTCTCAATTGGAATCTATACAATTTCTGTAACATCGGAGTTTACAAGTTTGTCACACTAGTTATGACGTCATCTAACAAAAATTTGCTGCTTCTCGTGTTTAGTTCCGGCCAAGAGTCTCTTTGCTTTGGTCCGAAATGGACAGGTAGAGCTGACGAAACCATCCACTAAATGGAGATATGTCTTAAGGTCATGACACGTAGCAAAATCGCTTTTAGTGAGGTATGGTGATGCGTCGCTGCTCAATCGGAGCTCTTTTCCGATGTCTGCGTATCTGAACCACTGGGATTCGGCGACTCGCTTTTGTAGCCATTCCGGCAATCCTGCCACCGGAATTCCTCTATTTGTCATGTCATTGCTATCGTCGGCCAAGAATCCAGGGACTTTTGTGATCACGTCAGTGGAGTTCACAATTCTTAGGATTCGGGTGCCGCTGTTTTCGAGCTGTGATCTGAAGTTGCGGTTTCCGACGCGTGGGCCGCCGAATGAAACAACGGTCACCATCGGAGAGCGTTCGAATGTGGAGGTTATGTCGTAGGCCGTGAGGGTGGCTAGGGCGGCGCCGAGGCTGTGGCCGGTGATGGTGACACTAAGTGGCTCGTCGCCGTACTTGTCGATGACACTCGATATCTCCTCCCTCACCATATCCCGTAAGCTCGGACACGTGGTGGTTGCTGACGTATACATACTAAGAAACCCTTTCTGTACCATCGCTCTTTTGCTTTCAGGTGCGACGTCATTAGGTATAGAAGTCAACGTGGCCCGTAGATTCTCAATCCACTCAAGACAGGTGGCAGTGCCCCTGAAAGCGATCACCACATCCCGACGGCCCAACCGTGCGATCTCCTCCTCATCGTTGCAAACCGCCACGTAGCCGATCCAGGTGGAATTAACAGATGTACACGAAGGCACCCTGTTAATCCAACCTGGCAACTGAACCCCACACGTGGCATGTAAATTCTTAGTCACCTTATATCCGCTTCCTCCCAACCCACATCTTTCCAGCATTGAGTTTTTAGAATACTTACAGGTGGCATAATCCGCGGACGATGTGTCAAACTCAAAGCTCCGGTAGGCCGCTTCTACGAAATCCCCATATCGGAGAATCTCGTGTCGGAGGCCGTCGTCTAACGGGTCAAGCAACCCTTCCCAGTTTTTGATCCCTTGGTATTCTCGCCATTTCTGACCCAACTTCGCCACACGACTTGCGACTCGGGTTTGACCTGAATCGCTGTTCCAAGAACTCTTGACACTTAATTGTGATCTGGGTCTATAGTTCATGCTGGTGGAAGTACAGTTTGGAATCTCGGTGAGATGGGTGGCGGATCTTGGCAGGTTGCATGGTTTAGCCATGCCAATCACACACCTCATGAATCGGTATATATATGTTATTCGGATTGTGTTTGGAAATTCCAAGTGTTGCTGGTTGATATATAATTAAGTGGACACACACTTCGCTCGATGTTAAAGTGGGCTTTTATAGTTGCAGAAGTGAGATAGAGAAAAAAGGTATATAGATACAGATATATATAGAGAGAGAGAGAGGGACCTAGGAGAAAGATATTTAGAGAGAGAAGGATATATATATATATATATATAGAGAGAGAGAGAGAGAGAGAGGACGGTGCAATGAAGGGTTTGTTGAGTTTGAGAGTCAGGAGGGAGTGGGGGGTTGAAGATTGTTGACCGGGACCCACAGAATAAATATTAAAGGGATTAAAATGACGAAAATTGAGAACCCATTAACCTCCGACCATGTCTTGGAGGAGAAATATAGCACACATGCCCGCACGTGCATCTCACAAGACGCGTTGAATATCAAAAGAAAGGAAAAACAATAGCTTCACCAAAATAGATTATCTACCAGACTATTTTCCAGCAGCTTTTTTAAAAATAGAAATGGTGAGTTTTTTTTTTTTTAAAATGCTCCAACAACACTATTATTTATTTATCGGGTAAAATTTTAGTCCACGAAAACAACACCATATGCAATAATTTACCCGATAAGCTTTTACCATGGTAAGAGTCGTCGTCTTTACTTACCGGATAAGACCCTTGTTCCTTGTCTCGGCTCTTACTGGGTAAGATTTTTGGTCCTTATCATATTCATCCGATAAGGTAATGTGACTTGGTAAACGCTTACTCGGGTAAGCGTTTGGTAAATGGCCCTTTATTGTCTAAAAAACAAAATCATCCAAGAAAACTTTAAATAAGGGAGAGAAATGATTATTTTCTTTAATAAGATTGAGTTTTTAATTTTTATAAAAAGTGCTTTTTTTTAAAATGTGTATTGAGATAATAAATTAGATAATATTATAATAATATAATTCATATTAAAATTACTAAAATAGAGAATCTGTTGAAAATAAATGTAATTCGTTTTTAATGGTTCTTTATTTTAGAAGAAATAAAAAAGAGTTGTCGGGAATGTTTTAATGATTTTTAAAGTAAACTAGAAGGTTACTCATGCAATGCAATAACATACATTTCAATTCTAATGTTCTGGTTTATTCTTTTTCTCTTTGGATGTTATAGTATAATTTTATGTAGTTTTGAGAAAACGATAATGTTTTTTATGTTTGAATAAGATATAAATTTGAAAATTTCATTAAAATATTCTAAAAAAAATAATATTGATATTAGTATTAAATTAAATATTTAAAAATTTTCATTTTTTTATGTAATTTTTGAA